GTCCATTTTGTGTCGGATGTTAACGTAGCGAACTCTTAACCATTTGACCGTGACCCCTGGACGAGCGTCCTCTTCCCTGGAGATAATTGCACAAAAGATTTGGTCTCGCTGAAACGTTACGTAGAAGAGCAACGAAAATTAAATCACCGTCTAAAGTACTCTACGTTCAATTTTAAAAGATGCAATTAACACTTTTTGTGTCTGAAGGTAGTCCTATACGCTTAAAACAACCTAAATGGTATTTCAACTTTTTCACAGCAAAATGTGTTTCCTGAATTAACGTTTAATAATGTTCATTGTTAAGGAAAGTCGATCCAAAATATTCATACTATTTATTGAAGTAATCACCCCTTTGCGCTTCACCTTCCTAATGCAATATTCCTATAAAACTGAGTACGACTCACCTTCTAAACAAGTTCTAATATAATATAAGGAGTCGAGGAGGCTATGGTTGGTAGAAATTATTTCCTTCCGTTGAGATGTTTCATTAAAGTACCATGAAGGATAAAAGCCTCCCCCCCCAACTCCACCCCCTACCCCAACCCCCCTTTCGATAAGGAGTCGGAAAGTAAGACGGTAGTTGGTAAGAAACAGTTCCTTTTCTTGACACCTTTAATTGGAATACCATGAAGGATAAAATTAATTTCTACCCCCACTTTCCTCCTCCCGGCCACCTACTACACGGAAAGGAGTTGCGCAGGAATGTTATAGTTTATACAAACCAATTCATTTCGGTGAAACCTTTCATTAGAATACCATGAAGGGTAGAAAGTGTCCCCCCCCCCCCCAATTTTCAAAAATGTTACTTGGAACCACTAAAGACATCCGTATACAAATTCTGATACCAGTTGGTTGTCGCATATAAAAGTTATGCACGTTTTACTTTCAAAAACAGCATCTGGAAAAATAATTCATGGTGGGCCCCTCCTTGAGACAGCGAAATTTGATGGCCGTCTAGTACACCTTCCAGATATAGGCTACATATTTAACAAATTCCAGGACTCTAGGATCATTGCTCTAAAAGTAGTTCAAAACCGCAGAAGTGGATCCGGACGGACGGACGGACAATACGTAAACAATAGCACATTTTTTAATTCTTAAAAAATTTGCTAAAAATATAAGAAGTTAAAAATTCTGTAAAAGTTCCACGAAGGTTCCAAGAAATTTCCAAGGAAGGATGGGCATATTGTAAACCATTTTTACATGATAAACGCGCTTTTTAAAATAAAGTTTGAAAAAATTTATTTATTTATTTATTTATTTATTTTGCCTTTATTTTTGAGTAGGCGGGGTTTCATTTACAAATATCCATGCCCGAACCCGGATTCGAACCAGGGACCCTAGCACCACAGTCCAGCTTCAACTGAACTGCGCCACACGAGCCGGCAATTTCTCGAAAAATTTCCAAATATCTGAAAAATAGTGGTACTAGAAGATATGAATGAAGATTTCTCAATCTGTTTTCGAAAACCAAAGACTATTTAAAGTGGAGAGCGAAAGAGTTCCTCTACACCAGTGGCGTAACTAGGTAGGTGCCGAAGGTGGCACCGCACTGAGAGAGCAAAGGCGCAGCAGTACCGAAAGTGCTAACGCACGGCTGGGCGCTGGCCTCGGATGCGCTCTAGGACACCACGTCCCGGTTATCAGTACGGGGTATAGACCAGTCACTAAAGAAAAAACGGCAGTTAAATTCGAATAGTCTGCTAAAGTCGACTACAGGGTGCAAAACAAATTTGGGAGCCTTTAGGATGAATCTCATAAACGGGCGATATATATTTGACGCAGTTTCGATGCTATACATTTTCGTAATGTGTATAAACAAAAAAATTCTTGGGCTCGATCTATTATAGTTTCAGAAAGTAATAAATGAACGAAATGGGTATTTAACTGATAAAGAAAGCGCTCGGTAGGTAGTCAAGCATACCCGTTGACAATTGTGCAACTTAAACGAGCACATTTGTGCTCTTAGGAATAAAGTAATATCTTTTCATTTATATTGAATAATTAAATTGAATACGTATTTAATATCGCTTTTGTTTATAAGTCACAAAATTTATTGGTCTAATTAATGGGGGCGCAAATGCCGCCATTGGGGGCGTGGTCCGAAAACCGACTTAATTACATTTAACGTTGTCGAAATGATTAATTAAAATTTAGCCTTTGTGAAACTATACGTTCGGCCGTCAATTATTTATAATTGGAATTAAGTTTGCTAATTACGTAAGCTGCTAGTAAATTCTATTAACTTAACTGAAATGATTAATTAATTCCTCCTCTTATAATTGACCCATATTTTAATTTTATGACTTCATGAAGATGAATTGAAACGTACCAAAGCTGATTTAGGTGGGTTTTGGAATGTTTACTGCGACTGAAAGACCACAGGAAATTTCGCCATAATACTAGTTCGCGGTTGCGTGGCCCATCGGTGCCGAGTACTGCCATTTCTGTGGTGACTCGTAGGTAGATCGGTAATAGTACATTGAAATACAAGTGCAGAAACGGTATTATTGAAAAACGAGTATAAATGTAGGAACACGAGCGCCAGCGAGTGTTCCTATTATACGAGTTTTTCAATGACCGTTTCGGCATGCGTGTTTCATACTATTTTTTCTACGAAAGTGAAAAATTCTTCTCTAGAAATTAGAAATTTCAACTAACCAAATAACGACAAAAAATCGTATAGTCTGATCGTAGTTGGATGTTTCAATTGTAAATGATCCAGTAAGCCGGTTGCCATGACAAAACATAATTGTTTGAAAAATCGTAAATTTAAGTCAAACAATTTGTGGCGTAGTGAAAAAGTGTTAAGATAGATTTTGACGAAACTGAAGATGAAGAAGGTATGTGCACCCCGCCGGACGTTGCGGAAATGGCTAATGCGGTTTCGCATGAATTGCTACCCCAAAAGTCTAAGCAGCGTTTCGGAAAGGAGCGTTTTCATACGAGAACAAATCGCTAAGTTTTTGAGAGAAGCGCCTGATGAAACATTTGTAATGATGAAGGTTTGTGAATTTCTTATTGTATTTTTAAATCATAAATAAGCATAATTTAATTACAGGTTGCTCTCGTCCTTGGAGTGGCTGGAGCTTGCCGTCGGAGCGAACGTTGTAAAATGACTGTAACGGATTTCACAGAACAAGTCACAAGATGCAATTTTATTGATACTTAACGATTCCTGACTCCAAGAATCATGTCCCAAGAACGTTTTCTGTAGCAGAAGGCAAAGAAAATTCTACCATTGTCTGTCTTATATAACGAAACTGTGAATAAAGCAATACAATTACAAAGAGTTACTTCGCATATGTTTATTAGCGTGTAGAAAATGCGTGCAGAAAATATTTTTTTGTACTCATTGAATGGAAAGATAATGTTTCCAAGCATCCTCGATGCACGGGAAAACGACTTTCCCGCATCGCGGTGTTTTTTAGTTTCCGCTGGAGAGAAGGGGTTATGCGCGTTCTTCGGTTGGTAGTACTTATTGAAGTCAACAAACGTCATGTCATGGTTAACTGTCATCTGCTATAAAATCAATTAAACCGTTGGTTGAGGGTATTTAGTGCGATTAATCGGAAACAGACGTACACTAAGTTTTACGTAAATATATAAACAAGAACTTATAACGCAGTCAAATTATTTTTCAGAATTGGAACTCAAGAAAAAGTAAAATTTATTGTTAAAACGTCTTAAAATGTGACCAGTGATATTCTGCAACTATTCGCATATGCAGTTTAAGAAAGCACATATTAACACACACAAAGCTTCCAAGGATTTTAAATGTAACGAGTGTATTTACGCAACTCAAGATAAATCAAATTTGAGAACACATTTCTTCACACATGTCTTCTGGGAATATTAAATACGATCAGTACACTTACGCGACCAATAAGAGCACTCTTTTCAAAGCATATTTGTTAACATTGACGACTTCCAAGGATATTCAGTGCAAACGATGCAATGCCGTGACCAGTAGTAGCACTCATTGCAAAGGCAAAATATGTATTAACCAAAGATGTGGAAGTTTTAAATGTAACCAGTGCAATTAAAAGTGGGTAGTTACAAAATTATGTTACCAACCAAACATATGATTGTGTTACCAACTCATGATTAAAAAAAAGCTAATTTACAAAACTTTATTAATTTTGACCTCTTTTTACGCAATTCGTTACAAAAAATATTGTACCTAACTCTTTCGGAAAGAATTTTCCCGCATTCGCACTAAATGCAGCACTCCCTACGGTCGTGCTGCAAACAAAGTGCTCATGCGGGAAAATTAACTTACCGAACTTGTTAGGTAAATAACTATTGCCGCACTAGTGTTTCAAAGACCTGTTTTCACAATCAATTTACCTACAAAAACAATCGTGTTTCTACACTTTCGTAGAAAAAAACATTTTCTTATAGAATTTGGCCCGTAGAATCCATAATTTCAAACAGTTTGAAGATTGGGCCAAAACGATGAGAGCGCAGCTTCCCTGGTTGCAAACGGTTAAAAGCAGATCTCCGAACTCTGCAAAGGCAATTTCGCTTCACGAAACGACCAGCTCTCCGTCTACACAACCAGTTCGCCCTCGCCCCACGCTCCACCAGCCAGAAGACTCGCATCCGCGCTCACTATCATTTTGTACATGTTGTAAATATATTCCATAAAACACAAAAGGATTTTATTGAGCATCGCCCGCTCAACTTCCCTGATCATATTCTTTTTTACACTCTTATGAGAAATAACGATACACTGTAAAAATGAAAATTTTACCATGCTCCAGGACAGTAAATTTTTTTAGAAACAATTCGTTTTTACCAAAAAAATTTGCGGAAGAAGCCCGAAATTGTGCAAAATCTTACTTAAAAGTTCACTCCATTTCGTCGAAATCGGAGGTTATGTTATCGTAACTCTTTTGTTTCCACCTTCAGCTATTTTAGCTGTCTCCTTAATTTTTTTCGTTCGGGTAACGGCTGCCCATCACCCGGGAACACTCTCTCCGGTGTTAAAAATTAAATTAACAATTAGTATCATTAACTTTAATTTAAATATTATTTACAAATAAGTACATGATATGGAAAATATATGTATGCTTACTTCGCCCCCACGATCCTCTTGGCTGTGTATCCAGGTAACGAATAGAAAAATAATAGAAGTAGTAACGTTAGTGCCAATATTACTAGAAACTTAAGTATTTTCCACTTCAAGTTTTGCCATAGGATGTATCTGAGCGATTTTAACGGATTCATAAACCAAACAAATGACGTATCTGGTCGACTGAAACACACAAATTAGACAATGTTAACCAAGGTTGCGTCTTTACTTTGGCTTGTCTAATGGTTCGGGTTCGTTTCTGCCTAATCCAACTGGATTCTTTTCAGCTTCCTCCTGAGTTAAGAGGTGTAGTTCCGCTTCCACCTTGCCGGTTAATTCTAAGACTTCGTTGTCCTTTTTAATGTAAAATGGCCACCAACCCTTGATTCGTTTCTGTTTAAAAATGTTAACCATGGGCACCGATCCGTCGTTTCTTGTTATCATTTCCATGGTACACAGTTTTGCCGATTTCGCACCGCGGGGAAATTTATTTAAATCTAGCGTGAGGGCGCCTGTAAGTATAATTTTTGGAGTGAGTCTCGTACCGTTCGCATGGCAAGTTTTACCTAGGAAGTCGTCCGCTGAAAAATGATCCGCGTCCCACACTTGCAAGTCGAGTCGGGCGGGAATTTTAGTTTCGGATTCGTCCCAAGAGAATACGGACTCTTTCTTTGTTATGACAATTCGTCTTTCCGCACTCAAATAGTCGAAATTGTAGACGAATCGCCAATTAAAGTTACCCTCGCCTGTTAGCGATCGGTAGTGGATGTCGGTTGACTGGTTGTCTTCTGTGCCTTTGACCCAACTAAAATTTTTAACTGAGATTATAACTTCATGTTTATTATACGAACCCTTTAACGTAAATGTCCGACATCTTTTCACCGGTGAAAAATGCGTCGTCTTCTAACACAACTTCGTCTGTGTTCCAAATAATGACCCGTAATTCGTAGCCTTTCGGTTTGCGTGGTGATATATTAGTAGGGGGTCCAGGTAAGGGCATGTCCATGGGGAACATGTCCACCCACATTTCAATTTTTCCTTGTTCCATGCCTGGCTTTTCTGGGTTGTACAGTGAACGAGTCTCTATATGCTCGGGTGTCAGGTAGCATCCGATGGGGAACTCCTGCCATTTATGCAAAATAGTGAGAGCCATCCTTTCTTCCATTATTTTTAAGTCATCTACCTCGTCAACATTTACTGGAACGGTAATTCGACCAACTTTTACGTGACCTGGAGTGTATACAGGCGGATCGATCTTGGCTTCCTTGCATAGTTTCGCTAAAATTTGTGTGGGTTTCATTGGATCTCTCCACGCATTGTAACCGTCTCTACAAAAATTCATTCGGTCGTTTAACGTCGCACGAAGATGCACTTACTCCTCATATTTTAAGGCAATCCCGCAGGTGGCTCTGTGACGGCTGTAGAATCTGTTCTCCAAGTCAATTTTTGTCTCGCCAATCATATCATCTGCACTCACCAGATCCCAATCAAATATTTGTACAGTCAAGAGGGAATCTTGCGGAAACGTTGCCTCGAATTCGAAGCATCTGGAAGAATAGCTGTGCCGTGAGTCATTCGAGCTTACACTTACTTTCCGAAGACCGGGTTTAATTGCTTAGATACGTAATTCTCCTTGTCTGTCACTCTTTTGGCGCCGAGCTGTAGTACTATATAGGGATCAGCTTTTCCGTTTAGATCCATTGGATGCAACTCCAGCGCTTTAACAACGTAAACGCGTACTAAAACTCGGATTTGCTCATTGGAAGGAAGCCCTTGGAGTAATCCATAGTTCAGGTCGAAACCTGTCAGGTGGAAATCCTCAAAATCATTGGGCAAGGGCCACTTGTAGATCGTTATTGCTCCCTTGAAAAATAAATGCACCCCAAGAACCATAGACGGGTAGCACTTACTTTAAACGATCCCACGATGCGGTTGTCGTCCTCGGACTCGTCCGCGCTTTTCTTACCGCGATACAATTCGAAGGTATGCAACCAATCCTTAAACCCATTAAATTCGGGTATTTTTTCTAGTTCCATATCAAATATCTGCAATCCAAGTTATTACTCTGTTGGCAGGTCAAGGTGATGCGCTTACCCTGGAGAAAGCCGACTTACGTTTAGGTTTTCCCGTAGCTTTCGGACTTAGCTTTGTGACAAACCGCGTGGCCGTTCCAACGGCTTTAAATCCAAACTTCTTGCGGTCCGTTGATTTGCTGCTTATCACTTCGACATCCTCGAGATCTGAAGGACTGATATCGTGCCGCAACAAACTTTGATTCTTGCTTGCTGGAGTTCTGGTGTCCTTAACGACATCGCCGGATGAGTAATACTTGGTCCACCAATCCCTATCTTCTTCTTCGTGCTCCAGCTCATCCTCCTCGCTTTTCTTCTTCTGAGTTTCCGGTTTAGGTTTCTTGGTTGTCTCTCTACTTCCATAGGAAATTGCGCCATTGGGTTCTTTCGGTAGGAGAGGGCTCTTTTCTTTGTTTTCGTCGTCTGTCGAAGTGTTGAGTGTCGCGTGCGTTTCGTTCGTCTGGTTCGCCGCGTTAATCGAGCGCTTACGTTCTTCTGCCTCTCTTTCTCTTCGCGTGCGAGGTACGTAGATGTACTTTTGAATGGAGTTAATCGTGTGTGTTCCTACGAGCGTGTATCGGCCGAAGCTTCGACAATCGACCGCGCGTATTGTTAAGGGCGGGCGGTAAAGTTCTTGCTCCGGCAGCTCTAAGTCCAGAAATTTGATTGGGCTGCTGAAGTTGGGGTTCTTTTTGGCATTCGGAATAATCGGCGAGTACAAAGTGTGACCTGCGCAATCGATATCGACCCTCGGCTTGTCGACGGTCATCAAATGCACACGTTTCAGGTCTCTCAGACCCCAGAAAAGTACTTCGATGCGGTATGTACAAAGCGTTGGTCTGATACCTTTCGGTACGGGAAGTATTGGTCCAAGATCTTTCATGTCGGTATCTTTAGAATCCGAAGCTTGCTTGGTTTCGGGAGTAGGTGGAAGTGCCTCTTCCTTTGAATCGCCATCGGGGTACTCCAAGAGTTCAAAGGTCGCCAGCAATTCGCCGGCGCGATCCGCGCTTCTTTTAACATCAAACCACTCTAATGAGGGTGGAAATTTCGGCTTCCAGTACGCATCGCCGCGTAACTTTACGTGGGGTTTCGCCATGGTGCGACCGATAAACTCCGACTTCCCCACTTTGTCTTGATCGAAAATTTCGATAATGACGAAGGGTGGATCCTGCTGTATGTCTTCGCTTGTTCCGTATATGAGGATTTCGTCGAATATGAGCAACTCGTCCCAGGTCGGGCTAACTGTTTCATCTATAACTTGGGTTGTCTTGCTAAACTCGCCTGCTATGACTGTAGCAAATGGATCTGAGAGACCGGATGCGTCGGAGCCGATTAGAGAGCGCGCTTGGTAAATATGCGCTCGCAATTGGAAGACCTGGGGGAACGAGCACGTAAAGCAAATGACCGGATACTGGGCGTACTTACGTGTTTTTCGGTGTAGTGGATCGTTAGTGGAGGTAAAGCATGTGGCCTATCCGCATTGCGTATTTCCTGCGTTATTTCGTATCCGTTAGGGACTCCGTTTAAGAAATTCTTCTTTTGCTTTAACAGCCCCAACCAAAGGGATATTTGCAATTTTGCTTGAATAGCCCAACCAGTGGGACCAACCGCCTTTTTTCCTGGTAACTAAAAATCGCACTTTAAAATGTGTCCATAAAGATCGTAAGGTACCTTTAAGAATATTGTCTGCACTTTCCCGCAAGATTTTCCTCGTTCTTCGTCGACGATCGCGTATAGTATGTCTCTAGCAATGATTCGGTGATATGCTTGCCTTTTTCCTCCACTTACCAACCACAGAAATATGTCAGGTACGGCGTGCTGGGGCTGAAATTTTCAAATTGTAAATAGCAAGCTGTGGATTAATTGTAAACGCACGTCATCGACCAAGGATTGCAGCGTCGCTAGGTACGAATGCGC